GAATGAAAACACTTGAACAAAATAATGCTCAGGAATTTTAGATTGTCACCTTTTCTCTTTCACTGATTTACCAATGCTTTTTCAAATGAAGTCAGAATAATTATCTACTAACTGCCACAGAAAATGAAATGATACTGTCTGCTCAGTTAAAGTTGCTCTTTTAAGTTTTCAGTTGCCAGGCATTAAGTTGGGCACCAAGACAACTTTGTATCGATTGGTAGAGTAGGGCCTGTTTCCACACTGTAGGGATTCTATGATTCTAAATTTCTTCTGCACTCTTTCCATTTAATAACATCCTTCCTACAGCAAGGTGACCAAAACTGAACACAATACTCCAAGTGCAGCTTCACCAATATCCTGTACAACTACATCATTGAGTACTCAATGCCCTGATTGATGAAGGCCAATGTGCTAAAAGCCTTCTTCACTGCCCTAATGGAGGGAAAGCAGCGATAATATTGGGAGATACAAACATGGTCAGTTGTTTGTAGTTGAGTGTTTCTTTCAGAGTGTCCTGGTATCAATATTACAGTTTTCTCTCATCAATTTGTCCTGGTTTAATTAACGAGGTTTTATTTCCTATTCAGTGCCCAGGGTTTCAGACAGAGGATCAAAATCAATGCATTTAGAGGCTAGGAACAGGACTGTCCCTTTTTGACAGCGCAATTAATATCACAGTATCACAAATATAGTGAAATATGCCAAGCCAAAATAGCACAGAGGCAAGAAGTAAAAACAAAGTGCTCGAGAACATCAGCAGGCTTGGCACAGACAGAAACATTTTGAGTCTAATTTGACTTTTCTTCAGAATGGATACATGAGTTGGAAAATGAAGCTTAAATTTGGAAAAGCTAAAGAGTTAACTGAAACTGATTTCCAACAGGTAAAACAAGAAAGAACTTGGATTCATGTCGTGTTTTACATGACTTTGCAACATCCAAAATTGTTATGCAACCAATTAAGAAATGTTTCTAATCACAGCAACTATGTTAGGCAAGATTCTACATACTTAAAAAGAGAAATAACCAGATAATCTACTTTAGTGACACAAGCATATGAATCAGGAGCAGGAATACCCACACAGGGCCTTGAGCTAGCTGTCATTCAATAAGATCACGGCTTTTCTGATTGTAACCTCAAATCCACATTCCCATCTACCCCGATAACCTTTCACTCCCTTGCTTAACAAACATCCATCTACCTCTGCCTTAAAAATTATCAAGGACACTGCTCCACCATAATTTTCAGGAGAGAGTTCTAAAGACAAATTTATCTAATGTGTTTTAAATGGATGACCTCCGATTTTTAGACAATGACCCTTTGTTGTATATTTTCCCTTAATAGGCAACATAATCTCCACATCTAAACTGTCAAGACCCTTCAAGATTTTATATGTTTCAATCAAACCACTTTTACTTATTTAGACACCAGCAAATAGAAGCCTAGTTTGTCCAGTCTTTCCTCACAAGACAACGTGCCCATTCCAAGTATTTGTCTAGTAAACCTTCTCTAAACTGTCTCCAACACATTACATTTTTTCTTAAATAAAAAGACAGTACCCAGACATAGTCTAACCAGTGCCCATTATAACCTCCCTGTTTTTGTACTCAATTTCCCTCATGGTAAATGGTAATTTTTTTTAGCTTCCTTGTCTGAAGTTAAATGCTGATCAGAACACTATAAGAAATTTCCATAGATTCTAGAGTCAACTCTTTGTACAAAGTATGATTAACGTTCACTTCAAGAGCAGTTAGGTGATGATATGAAGCGACAGTAATTTCAGCACTGTGGGTGGCTCAGGAATATAAAAACTGATGGGCTTTCTTCACCAGGTTCCTTAGAAAGCACTTGCCAAACCCACAATGCCTTCCATCAGAACAGAACAACAAGGGCAGCAGAGTACGGGTACACCTTGATGTACAAGTTCCCCTCCAAGCCACGCACCGTCCTGACTTGGAACCAATTACGGTCGCTAAATCACTATCCTGGCTCTCCCTTCCTAAAAGCACTGTGGGGGTATCTTCATCCCAACGACTGCAGCAGATTAAGAAGATTAATCATTATCACTTCAAGTGCAACTAGGGAGGTGCAATAAATACTGCTTTAGCCGATGATACGTACAACCTAGGAATGAATAACTTTAAAACAAATCTGGTACTTAACTAGCATGAAATATGAAATTTCCTCTCTAGTTTTTATAATAACAGCAAAGTATAATTCTGAGCAGCAAATTAGTATCCCAAGTGGGGGATGCAGAAGTCACTCTCTTCACCCTCACTCCACCATTACCCTGCCCATTCAAAAATCCCCTCACCCATTCTCCCGTCTTCAAATTGTCTCCTGACTCAATTGACCATCTCTACTGACCCCCAACTCACCTGACTGTCCACCCTCATCCAATGTGACATACATGGTACCCAACCATCTTGACTGAAGTTAATGACTCCCTAACCACCTGACCATTTCCCCACCCATTTTATTATCTCTCGATTGAGCTTAAACCTGGGTGTAAATCATGAAGAAACTCCAATTAATGCATAAAATATTTGCATAGTGGTATATATAATCCTAGTCTTGTATACATGAACCTATGTAGGTACATATGTAGCAGGAGATAGCAAGAACTGCAGATGCTGGAGTCAGAGTCAATACAGTGTGGAGCTGGAGGAGCACAGCAGGCCTGGCAGGATCAGAGGAGCAGGAAAGACAGTGTTTCGGATTTACAATCTTCATAAGGACGACGAAGGGTGTAAACCCAAAATATCGACTTTGCTGCTCCTCTGATGCTACCTGGCCTGCTGTGTTCCTCCAGCTCCACACTACATATGTAGTTGTATACGTGCAATTCATACAGTTGAGATAAATACAAGAGTTGCATTTAATGGAAAGCACTTGAGGGAGAAAGGGGAAATAATACTGGGTTGGACAAGGCTCATATGCAGCGTAAACATTGGTGTTGAACATTTGGTTTGAATAGCTACTTCTATTCTGTACATTAAATTGAATATTGGATAGTGAGGTAGAAAGATATGGCTGTTAAAAAACATGTGTGAGTCTCCTACTTTGAACTATATACCAATATTTACATTGGTGGTGGGCAAGTTGTTGGAGGGGATCCTGAGGGACAGGATTTACATGCATTTGGAAAGGCAAGGATTAATTAGGGATAGTCAACATGGCTTCGTGTATGGGAAATCAGGACTCACTAACTTGATTGAGTTTTTCGAAGAAGTAACAAACAGGATTGATGAAGGCAAAGCAGTGGACGTGATCTATATGGATTTCAGTAATGTGTTCGACAAGGTTCCTCATGGTTGACTGGTTAGCAAGGTTAGATCACATTGAATACAGGGAGAACTAGCAATTTAGATAAGAACTAGCTCAAAGATAGAAGACAGAGGGTGGTGGTGGAGGGTTGCTTTTCAGACTGGAGGCCTGTGACCAGCAGTGTGCCACAAGGATTGGTGCTGGGTCCACTGCTTTTCATCATTTATGTTAATGATTTGGATGTGAACATAGGAGGTTTGGTTAGTAAATTTGCAGATGGCATCAAAATTGGAGGTGTAGTGGACAGCGAAGAAGGTTACCTCAGAGTACAATGGATCAGGTGGGCCAATGGGCTGAGGAGTGGCAGATAGAGTTTAATTAGATAAATGTGAGATGCTGCATTTTGGAAAGGCAAATCCGGGAAGGACTTATACGCTTACTGGTAAGGTCCTGGGGAGTGTTGCTGAACAAAGAGACTTTGGGGTTCAGGTTCATAGTTCCTTCGAAGTGGAGTTGCAGCTAGATAGGATGGTGAAGAAAGCGTTTGGTATGCTTTCCTTTATTGGTCAGTGCATTGAGTATAGGAGTTGGGAGGTCATGTTGCAGCTGTACAGGATATTGGTTAGGCTTCTGTTGGAATACTGCGTGCAATTCTGGTCTCCCTACTACACGAAGGATGTTGTGAAACTTGAAAGAGTTCAAAAAAGATTTAGAGTCATATGGCACGGAAACAGACTCTTTGGTCCAACCAGTCCATGCCAAACATAATCACAAACTAAACTAGTCCCACCTGCCTGCTCCTGACCCATATCCCTCCAAAGCTTTCTCTTTCACATATCCATCCAAATGTATTTTAAACGTTGTAATTGTACCTGCATCCACTATTTCATCAGGAAGTTCATTCCTCATATGAACCACCCTCTTATTTAAATCTCTTTTTTAAATCTCTCTCCTTTCACCTTAAAAATGTGCCCCCTAGGCTTGAAATACCCCATCTTAGGGAAAAGACAACTATCATCAACTCTATCTATATACCTCATTAGACTTACAAGGATGTTGCCGGGGTTGGAGGGTTTGAGCTATAGGGAGAGGCTGAATAGGCTGGGGCTATTTTCCCTGGAGCACCAGAGGCTGAGGGGTGACCTTATACAAGGGGCATGGATTGAATGAATAGCAAAAGTCTTTTCGCCAGGGGTGGGTAAGTCCAAAACTAGAGGGTGTAGGTTTAACATGTGAGGAGAAAGATTTAAGAGACTGAGGGGGGTAACTTTCTCATGTAGAGGATGATGCATGTATGGAATGAACTGCCCGAGGAAGTGGTGGAGGCTGGTACAAGTTCCACATTTAAAAGGCATCTGGATGGGTACATGAATAGGAAGGGTTTAGAGGGATGTGGGCCAAATGCTGGCAAATGGGACTAGATTAATTTAGGATATCTAGTCGGCATGGACATGTCTGACCGAAGGATCTGTTTCAATGCTGTACAGCTCTATGACTCTGAATCAGTTCAAATTTTATGCACAAGTCTTTGGAATTAGACCTGAATACACACCTTCTTAAAGAGGCAATTGTACTACCACTAAACCATACTGGCAGACATTGAAAATATGAAATCATAAACAATAAGAGGCCAAACAGGAACAATGAATAATAAGGCAAAATCACATGATAACAATTGATCAATCAGGCTAGATGTGGTATTAGACCTGTGATTCACTCCAATTAAAATGTACCTGATCGTACTCCGAAGCTCCTGGATACAATGGCCACCCCAAGAATAGCTCGGCAATAACACACCCAAGTGACCACATGTCAATGGCTTCACAAAACAGCAGTCCCAGGATGATCTCTGGTGCTCTATAGGGAGAGAGAGAGAAAAAAAAGTTAAGGGGTAGGCACACAAACATTCTTCCTTTTACCCACTTTCTCTTCCCAGTCACTTATAGTTCTGCAGCATTGGCAGATCTACAGCACCTCACACTACTCATTTGCGAGCTCAAAAAATAAGGTAAAATCCGGGAACAAAACCTCCAGCTGACTGCTCGTCTTCCTCCGAAATGTTCAGATGAAGCCAGGTCTCATATTTTCCCCATCTCTTTTTATGGTCTTCATTGGTTTTGAATGGAGGCAACCCCAAACATAGTGTCAACATCAACCATGACCACATTACACCTCCAAGATGGAGGGGGATGGTATTTAAATTGCCTGCGTCATTAATTGGGTGCATTTCAAAGATCAGCAGCTTGTTAAGTGCTTGCCTTCTAAGGTATCAAAACTTATAATGTGGATGGGTAAGCATTGGGAGCTGCACAGCTCCAGTCTGTGGAACAAGATTGACATCATGGAAAAAGTTCTTTGTTTAGAAAAAGTGGAGGTTTCGAAAAGAAACCTATGCCACAGTAATTTTAATAAGACTAATATTTCCCTCCCCTATTCTGGGTTCCAACTCTGCAATGGTCCTGGCCAGTTTTACAATTTAGATGTTTAAATGATTTTTTAATGTTGGCAACTGGAGCAATTGCTGCTGAGTTAGTTCACAGTGTCGCTCACTTTTCCCACCTGCTTCCATTTCCACCCCTCAACACAAATTGGTCACCATCCTCTCACCAATTAACCCCACATCTCCACAGACGTTGGAAGCTTTGTCTCTCAGAGTTTGGGATCTAGAGATGAACCGCCTCCCAATTCACTCTGACTCAGCCCAAGTTCCAGAAGGCATTTGATAAGGTACTGCAACAAAGGTTATTGCCAAAATTAAAAGTTCATGGTAAGAGTATAACATATTGATATCAAAGGGAATTGGCTTGCTAACAATAAGCACGAAGTGAATAAGTTGGTCTTTTTCAGCCTGCCGATATGTCATGAATGGTGTGCAACATCTTCAGTTGTGCCGGAGGTATGGTAGCTAAATTTGCTGATGACACACAGATAGGCCAGAAGATGTGTTGTGTTGATGACATAAGGAGCCTACAAAGGAATATAGATAGATAGGTTAAGTGAATGGACAAAGATCTGGCAAATGGAGTATAATGTGGAAAAAGTGTGAACTTGTCTTATTTTGGCAGAAAGAATAAAATGATCTGAATGGTTACCATATTATGTAAATGGTGAGAGGTTGCAGAGCTGTGAGATACAGAGAAATCTGATGTCCCTAGTGCATGAATCATAGAAAGTTAGCATGCAGGTGCAGCAAGAATAGAGAAGTTATACAGGGTCTTGGTGAGACTGCATCTGGATTACTATGTACAGTACTAGTCACAGTACTTACAGGAAGATGTCAATGCATTTGAAGCTGTTCAGATACAGTTTTCTGGACTAATCCTGGAATGAGCAGATTGCCTCATGAGGAGAGGGTAGACAAGCTAGGTATGTATCCTCTGAAATTTAGAAGAATTGGAGGAGACTTAACGGAAACATAAAAAATTCAGAGGGAATTTGACTGGGCAATGTGGAAAGGATGTTTCCTCTCATGGGAGGATCTAGAACTTGAGGGCATAGTTTAAAAGTAAGGTATTGCCCATTTAAAAGAGAGATGAGGAACAGCTTTTTTTTCTCAGAGGGTTGAGATTCTTTGGTATCCCCTTCCTTAAAAGACGTTGGATGCAGAATCTTTAAATATTTTGAAGGCAGAGGTAGATAGATTCTTGATTACCAAGGGGATGAAAGATTATAAGGGATATACGGGAATGTAGATTGGAGGTTAAAATAAGATCAAGCATGATCTTATTGAATGGCGGGTTGTGGGTGAGGTTGTTGACCTGCTCACAGAGCTGGCTTGTTTTCATTCAGACATTTCATCAGCATGCTAGGTGACATCTTCAGTGAGGTCTCTGATGAAGCGATGTTGTTCTACTCCGCTTGGAATTTATACTGTCGGTGGTCCGTTATGGTGAGTAGTGTCATTTCTGGTTTTGATATGTATGGGTTTGTATATGGGGTCCAATTCTGTGTTTGTTGATTGCATTTCGTGTAGAGAACCATGTGTCTGGGAATTCCTGTGTGTGTCTATGTTTGGCTTAGGCTACTATGGTTACATTGTCCCAGTTAAACTGATGGCCTTCATTGTCTGAGTGTACCAATATTAAGGAGAGTTCATCGTGCCGTTTTGCTGCTAGCTGATGTTCATGTCTTCTGATGGCTAGTTTCCTTCCTGTCTGTCCGATGTAATGTTTATGGCACTTCACAAGGATTAAAGACCCTATTCCCACAACATGCAGGACCACGTGGTTTACAAAATACCATGCAAAGTCTGCCACAAACATTACGTCAGACAGATAGGAAGGAAACTAGCCATCAGAATACATAAACATCAGCTAGCAGCAAAACGGCATGGTGAACTCAGACAATGAAAGCCATCAGTTTAACTGGGTCAAGGTAACCATAGCAGCCCAAGCCAAACATAGACACACACGGGAATTCCTAGAGGCATGGGACTCCACCCATAATGCAATCAATGAACATATAGAATTGGACTCCATATACAAACCCATACAGATCAAAACCAGAAATGACACTATTCACCATAACGGACTGGGCAGTATAAATTCCAAGTGGAGTAGAACAACATCACTTCATCGGAGGCTCCACTGATGATGTCACCTAGCATGGTGACAAAACATCCGAATAAAAACAAGCCAGCTTGACGAGCAAGTCAACAACCTCAATGGCAGAGAAAGCTTGAAGGGCTGATTGGCCTATTCTTGTACGTTGTTCGTATGTTCGGAAATCTGATCCCTGATCTATCCAAGATAATGCAGTTCTTTCAAATTAACATAGAAAAGTGTTATTTCATTCAAATAGCCTTCACAACCAGCTACCATAAACGTTTTCTTTGTCAACAGATAAAAACTGACTTGAACTGAATATAACTCAACAGGCCAATAGAAAATAAATACAGATTTACAAAAAGGGAAAACACAGCTGAACAAGCTACAGCAAAACCAGACATACAGATAGGTTACATTAATCCCATATTACAACAGTAAAAATGCTTCATTAAATCTGCTGCACTTTGCCAACCTCCTAAGGTTAAATGCAAAACTTCTTTCATTAGATAGACAGAATAATAGAGATTTGTATAGGTAAATAGATATACACCTATAAATGTAGATGGATAGAAAAATAGAAATTTGTAGATAGCTAAACATTGATTTCTGATTTAGTGCACGCTTTTCAAAATGGAATTGTTTTTCAACATGAAACTAGGCAAAAGATCCAACCTCTGTGCAGCCTTAGGTCATCTAACACTTCTGTAAATTTGATAAACTAACAGTGTTTCTGCCTATCACTGTGTTTCATTTATTGTTATGTGCAGAGCTGCTGCTGGCTATCAAAAGGTTACTTCTATTTTCCCCAAACTCTCTTATTTCCATAACACCGCTCATTGATAGCCACCGAAGGGAGTTGGACGTGGTATTCTGTGTCTGATCCAAGCCAGCTCTGGTCAAAACAAAGAATTTCAACTGACAAAATCATTTTCTGCTCAAATGTAATACACACAATCTGTGATTCGGTCATAACCTTTTAAGATTGAATAATACTATGGAGTTCCTGATTAATCACATGATTGTGGGTCACATTTTTTAGCCTCTAGATCAAAGGATCAGCTTTCTGCATTACCTCACTTTAATTTCTATTTGCCTTCAGCATAAGTTATTAAATAATGCTACTCATGTATTATAATCTGTTAATGAAAGGAAAGTTAAAAGCTGCCTCTGTCGCAAAAGCAGAGACAGTGAGTAAACGAATTACAGAAAGGAAAAGGCTTTAGATTTGACCTGAAGAAGGGTCTAGGCCTGAAACGTCAGCCTTCCTGCTCCTCTAATGCTGCTTGGCCTGCTGTGTTCATCCAGCTCTACACCTTGTTATCTCAGATTCTCCAGCATCTGCAGTTCCTACTATCTCTTAGATTTGACCATCCAGCTTATAATGACTCTGATTTCAGGACAAGAATAAGGCACCACAATCAACCTTGATGTCTTTGGTTGGGAGGGGAGAAAATCAAACAGCAACTCTTGCCTATTAGAAGAGTGAGATGTGGAACGAATGCGTAATTAGTTGGTGAGGAGGAAACGTCAGCAATGTGCTGTGAAAAATTATATAGCAAAGGAAAATGTTGAGCAGGGAAATGATGGTTCAAAAGGAGCAGGACTATTTTTCCTTCCATGTTTGATCAGTGATTTTAATTTGGTAGTGCCAGGCTCTGGTTGGATTCTGAAGATGGATGATTTTTGCTTTTATTACCGTTATGGTTCAGGCATTATATTGTTTATGTATAAGTTCCCTCAGAAGATTAAATATACCACATTCAATTCATTATTGGCTGGATGTTACACGATCTCTCATAAAGAACCAGGTGGACAAAAAAAACATTCTTTATTTTGTGAAATCAATATTCCAGCATTAAGTCAATATTACAGCACAATTCATTCTACTAATAGCAAAATGACCACCACAAATCTGATCTCTCCTGTTAACCCTATGTCCCCTAGGAGTGAATACATCTTTTGCAGTAAAAGGAGATCCGTGATGTCAGCATATATTGTGAAAGAGATTAAAGCGCTGATGAGAACCAAAACAATCGTAAATGTTAAACACCTCTAATCTCCTTGGCTTCGTCATGCCTCAGCTTCCTATTGCTCCAGCTTCACCCAATTCCACTGCAGCACTGTCCAATTTCAACATCTGCCCACAATCCAAAATTCACACACAGAAGTCATCCAAGACCTGCCCCATTCCCCAACACTTCACCTGCAATTTACTGGAGTAGGCTATGGATTGTCTTATTATTTCTCACAGTAAGAACTGTTAAAATCAGCCTCCTATGTCTGTTCACATCTCAAGCCTGATTCTCTGGT